GTTTAAGTTAAACCAAAGTCCCACAGCATCCCAGATGCTTTGCAGCCCTGGGCTGTGTCGTCTGTTCCAGGGAACATGGCTGGCCCTGCCCTCTGCTCCCTAGCCAGAGCTCTGCCAGAGATGGCAGGCACAGCAGGGTCTACCTGGCTTCCTCCTTCTTCCCCACTCCCTCCCCCCTCACTGCTCAAGCAGGGATCCCCCCCTCCCTCCCCTCTCCCACAGTATGGACCACAGCAGCATGGACTCTAGCCAGCATCTGGTCATGGTCACACCACCTTATACTAGCTAATGCTGAGAGGTATGTGTGTCTTCAATTTCATTGGGACAAAGGCAGACAGAACAGTGTTCGCTTAGGACTTTTTGGAGCGAATCAACAGGTCAGCTAATAATGTCCCTCCGTTCCTTCTTGGGAAAAAGCTGTTTAAGAGCTTGAACTAATGAGAGAGCTTTTGTTTCCTTGATGGGCTGATAAACCTTGTGTTATCAGCCCACTGCTGGCTTGCTTGTCTGTCAGTTTGCTGTAGACAGTATGAAGAAGCAGGGAGAGGGAGATTGAAGAGCTCAGTATCATCAACAGGTGCATGCACTCTACACAATCAGTTCTCCCATCCTTCCCACCGCCCTTTGCTTCAGAGTGCTAGCTGGGGGCTGGGGCCGGCAACCCTCCCACCCCTTGAGCAGCCAGCTGGGAAAAGCTTGGCAAAGGCTGCTTTCCCCTCCCCCTCCAGGCACACCCCAGCTGGGGACTGTGCAGGTAGGGTGGGGGTTTAAACCCCTTCCTAATCAGGGTGCCTTGCCTTGCCTGGCCACCCCCTTCCCCCCACCTCAGTGCTGTGGAAGGGAAGCGACTTCTCGCTCTAGTGGCCCCCAGTTTTTAGCCTGAGCCACTGCAGGTATGTGCCTTTATTTCTTGATTCAAAAGTGAATGTCTATCCCCTTGCAAATTGATTCAAGCTCTGCAGGTTAAACTAAGCTACAAAGATTGAATCAATTCAGGCTCAGGCTTTTTGAATGTCTGTCCCTAGCCCTTGAGTTCAGGCGGAGACTTAAAGTGATGGTAAGACTTTGTTAGGTGTGTTTAATAAAACATGGTAAGTCAGTTGCTAGTTTTCTGTACTTTGTGGCAAATAAGGTACTGAGAGCAGAGATCAGGAACCAGGGTTGAACTCTTATATACCCACCCCATGTTGTCTATCCCTATCAATACCTCTCACTCTAATCACAGTGACAGATTCTATGATCCTTGTGACCCAAAGTCCCACTGAAGTGAGGAAATGAGGAATGCAGTATGAGGCTTTTTGCCATGGTCAAAACATGATATTTTACTTGAAATTACTAGTTGCAGCATCATATATAATTTCTAATGACTTTACAGAGGTTGGGTTTGATTCACCTTTGCTGTCACAGAATGGTACAAACTTTACCTTTCAGTAAAAGTGAGAGTAGTTGCTTTCCAAAGGAGATCCCAGGGCAGAATAGCCAATGTTATCCACCACTGGGGGCATTTCTGAGCATCAGTTTCCAATTCTTGCCCCGGAGATGTAGTAATAGGGTGCATTTTCAAAAATGTCCTTAGCCCAGTCTTCCTTTGGGCCAGCATTAGCATAACTTGGGCCTGAATCAACCCATTTTTCCTTGAAGAAATGGTGTTTTTCTTTCCATATTAAAATAATAAAAAATATTCATTTTTAATATAAGATGCTATAAATGTTCTCTCTATCTGATTCAGAGGCAGAAATGTACATCTATGTTCTGTATGTGTAGTTATTTTATAAATAGCCACATTCTGCTTTTGCCAAACCAGCCTAGAGATTGTCTCTTATATAGACAGGCCCAAGCTAGCTTTACACTAGCTAGCTCAAGCGCTGGTAGCAGCAGAGCTCAGCAGGGGTTGACCTACCTCAAATAGTTACACAAGGTACCAGCAGGTTTCCCAGCCCATGCTGAGTCCCATGCTGATGCAACTACACTCCTGTAGTACTTAGGTAGCCAGTTAGTTCAAATGTACTGCAGTCCCACCATGGATTGTTGTGTAGATGGATCTTTAGAAACTGATCCTGGTAGGTACAGCACACCTACTCTCTTTGACTTTGGTAGGAGGGACAGGCACTGAAGACCTTTCAGAATCAGTGTTTAAACTACTTAATAACTGTATCTGATTAATTATTATAAAAATGTAATAATACCACCAAGGTAGCGTTCTGTAATTCCATCAATCTGACATACATAAGTGGGCAGAAGTTTGATAAGAGGAAAATACTAATCACCCGGACTGCACAAAATAGAAAATCCAGCTCATGCTTTAGATGTTCGCTATATGCAAGCTGCTGTTACAGTATGTTTCATAACCTGCATTACTCATGGTCCTTATGTTAGCTCAGAATACCATATAAAGTGTTAGCTTGTTTTACTATTCATGGTTCTGCAATAAAATTTTACTACACTAACTTTAAAATTGCCAGCTTGGAACCTGATTGGAGTGGAGTTACCAGCTATGAAATAGCATGAAGATGTACCTTTTCTAATTGAATGTTAGGAGTGCTGGCTTGGGGAGGATCACTTATGGAATTCAGGCTCAATTCAAAATTTGAAATGGAAGTCTTAGACCTGGGTATTCCCAAATTAATTAGAAAAGCATAATTGATGCAAAATCTAAGCAGCTTTACTCTGATGCGGTTTAATTACACCAGTAATTGAAAGGAAAAAAATTCCTAATTAGGCAACAAGAAAGCAAGAAGAAACAATTTAAAATAGAGAAAAAGCTTCTGTATATCCACCTTGTACTCTTCACTGTGGAATGCTTTATTTGCTGATATTATTATTATCCAGTCCAAAGCACACCACTAATATTTTTCTGATACTTCTCTTCTCAATCCTGTTGCTATAGCTTTCCAAATATTTGCTTTCCAAATGCAGTTTTTAAACCAGGATAAAGTTTAAAGAACATTTCTTCCCTTGGCTTCTGATTACATGAATCAAAATAAAAAATTCTACTGGGTCACTTGTCTAGCACAGGCTGTTTATTGTGTCTTGGAGTCAAAAGTGAAAGGATCTTCAAAATTATTTTTAGTATTTTTTTGCATAGATTGATAATAGCTATACAGACTGAGTTTAAAATTCACAGAAATACTCTTCTATATCTCAAGACTAAACATACTTCCATGATTGCGTTTTATTTCATAAATACTAAGTTTTATAAGAACTGCAACTTTTCAATTTACACTAAGCCAATTTATATTGTTGCTTTAATTTCTAGTACTAACTTAATCTCTATTTTGTAGAATATACACTATTTATAACTTAGTTGTTGAAAAATGACCAAACAATAACATGTATTTCACGTTCTAAATGTTGCAGAATGTATATTGTACATTCATTATAAATGTGTTAGCCATAAAATGTAAATTGCTTACAAATACATCAGTGATATTTCCATTCACTTCAGTGGGTTGTAGATTAGGACCTTAATTAACATGTGAAGAATTCTGAGCTAAGGTATGGATTGGTGCACACATCAGAAGGCCAGAAAAGGTCCTTGAAAGCATTTTTACTGGATTGAATGAAAGAGAAAATTATTGTAAACAAGAATTACATTGTACCAGGCCCTAACATATTACTGCCTCTGTGGCCACAAACTCTTAGCTTTACCGTTCCTAATTTACATGCCTCAAAGATCTGTTGTGAGGAGTAACTGGCTAATAGTTAAATTGTAAGAATGATTATTATACATACAATAATAAAAGATATTGTAATATTACTTCATCCAAACTCACATCGCTCTAATATTTTCAAGTAAATTGTCCATCTATTAGTGCATTGAAGTCTATTTTAAAGTTTCTGGCTTTTGTTTTCAGAACTGTGTCTGCAAAGCAAAAAGCTCCTGCTACTGTGATAGAACAAAAGGTAATAAGGTAAGACTGAATATATTTTTACCTCCAAGCTTAATATGAGCCAGCTACCTCTGTAGCTCCTTCCATGTACCCAGCCTTGCCCATTCTCCACTACACTCTTAGCCAAAAAAAGAAAGTTGAACCTTATAGTATGCACTGGCATTTAACAATCTCAGGCCATAACAGACTGAAGGCAGAAAAGGGTTTCAGGGGCTGTACTCTAATGTAGAATATCTTGTTTGCAAGCCCTGTTTTATAGTAGTCGAGCTCCAGCTCAGGTACCTCCGCTTGGTGCTAACCACAGCTGAAAAAGTAAGGCTATCTAATAAATAAGTTTTGAGAATAAATAGAAATACTAAGAGTTATAGTTTCTACTGGTAGAAGAAAAGTAGCTAATTCACAAATGGAGTGCAGCTTTTCAGAGAAGTCCTGACTATGGTTAGACTTCCCCTCAGTACTATGGCAGTTGGAATACCAAAACAACATAGGCAAGTCCCAGTCATATATTCATATAACATTTCAGACGTAAGTAGCCCTTTTGGTTTATAAATGTTTTCATGTGCAAAAGTGCTTGCTGAATCAGGCTGGAAAGACTCTCTCAGGTCAGGCTGCCATACGTAGGTTTGTTACAGCATAATGTGCACTGCCAACTGTGGCTTGAGAAAGGTGAATTTTAATGGAAAAAGCTAAAAATATTTACAGCAAGTGATAACTTATTAATAATTATACTCCTCTTCAAACTGAACTGAAAAAAATGTTTTTATTGGTCTAACTTTGATTTAACTAAGATGAACTGTGAGACTTTAAGAAAAATGAGAATATCACAACTACCCACTAAAAGACTGAAAAAAGATTAAACAGTGTATTAAATAGACAGTTATTAATAAAAATGTGTATTGAGGGTATAGTTGTTCAAGAAGGTCAGGATAATTAGGTAATTCAGTGTGCTTTACAAACTCTGGAATGTTAATAAACCCTTATAGGATTACAGCTGTCAGCCACAACAGTCAGGAATGAAGATAAAGCTACTAACACAATGTACAAATCAGTAAAGTTTTCAAAAGATAAAACTACTGGTCAAGAGTTGGGGACCCCTCCTATCACTTGCTTCTGTGGCAGTGTAGTCTTGCTGGATGAAGAAAGGTTCAGGTCTTGAATATTTTTCACATGTTAGGACTGCATGCCATCTAGTGGCAGATCTTGGTATAATACAATAATTTTTTTTGTGGGTATTTGGTTGGTCTAAGGACATAGGCAGGCAAGGTTCTTTGGGTAGATGTGATATCTTTTATTAGACCAACTGAGTAGTTGGAAAAAGGTTCTTGGCAAGCTTTGGATGCAGTCACCCTTCTTCAGGCATAAAGAGTCTCCACTGTTCTGAAATTCCAAGAAGAGTAATATTTTTTCTATCTTTTTTGAATCATGCTGAGTAAACTACTCATTTTAAGAAGCTAAAATATTAACTTAATTTCCTTCCTTTTTACTTATCATTTATGTCAAACTTAGTAACACAATTATCATTTACAAGATGGAGCTAATTGATGTTTCCATAAAAACCTTTCCTTGATCACAACATACACTGGGTATAAAATAGCATTTCTAATCTATTTTAAAAGTCAAAATGCTCATCTGCCTGAGAAGAACTGAATTTCTAAGACACATTGATAAAGCAATGAGAAAATTTTGTCTAAAAGCATGAATAATGAATGAATACCTCCATTTTCTTTTCCTAGCTTTTATAGCATTTTCTATTGTTGTTGTTTGTATTTGTATTTTCATAGCTCTAATCATGGACCAGGACAGGGCCCTATCATACTAAGGGCTATATAACACAAAACGAATAGACAATCTCTTCCCAAAAGAGCTTAAATCCATAAATTATTATTTTAACCTGCATGCATCCCTTTGAAAAGGGTCAGAAAATAGTTATTCACAATTATAATTTTGCTAAAATTTTGAAGATGAATTCCCCTAATTTAAATTCTTCTACCTCCTCGATGCCTCTTTTGTTACTATATTTTTGTATGAATGTGACATCATTTTACCCCCCTATGTCTAAGCTGAAAATGTCAAGTATGGTAATACTTGTGAAATAACTTATCCCCCAAACAGCACCAAGACAACCAGCATGGATGGAAAGTTTGCTGGGAAGCCTATTCGAGTTGGAGGACAAAGTGTCATGCCATGGTACTGTGTGGTACCTCTGCTTTAGTAAAGCACTTAAATATTTGCTTTAAGTCCATTCCTATTCAGACCAGCATTTCAGCATGTGCTTACTTTTAAGATGATAAGATTGTACATGCATATTAGGGTAGCCTCTGTGCTTTGTCATAAGCTTAAATGTAGTGGCCCAGATTCTGATGCTTCTGCATTCACAAAGTAGCACCCTACTCCACTGGGACCTCTTCCACTAAAGAGCAAGTGAATTTGGTGGGGACTACTCATGGACTAAGGAACTATCCAGTGAGGATGGGAGTATCAGAATCGGCACAGTGATGGGCAAATAAAAGTTAATAGGTGCCCAAAGTAACTAAAACCTCTTAAATAAATTAACAGAAGAAAGACAAAGATATTTTATCGGCTTCTTTGTTTTGCGGTTTACAGGGTGAGAAGGGCTTTCCTGGTGCTCAAGGTCCACCTGGGATAATAGGTTTTCCTGGCCCTGAGGGGCCTCCAGGGCCACAGGGACCCAAGGTAGGTTCCTGATCTGTGTGTGTGTCAGCAGGTGTGTGTCTGTGCACAAGTGAGGGACGGGATTTATGTAAAGAACTGTGGAAATAATAAAAGCCATAAGACTGTCCTTTGTTCAAAGCAAACAGGCTCTTACCTGCTCTCCACAGCAAAGTGGCAAGGCATATAATAGTAACAGGCTGTGTGTGGCTACTCAGGTAGAGCTGTTCACTCAGGAACCCATTGTAGTTCCTATTTCCATACAAAACTTATGTAGATTAACAAGTGCAAGCATGTCATGTGTCCAGGTCCTTACACTCTCCCATGCAGTTTACATATTCCCACAGCCTATTTATTCCACTGAGTGACTTGATTGTGAAAAGTGTTTATACTCCGTGGATATTTTTGTTTCTTCAGCCAAAACTTTGGAATTTTAGAACTAAAGTAAATAGTCCCGTGCTGTGGCTCTTACCTCACTCGAACTTTTCCCTGCTCCCTAGTGTGTAACTTGCATTGATTTACATAAAAAGTGGGGTGGTGACATAAAAATAAAAAAGCTAAGTATAAGGAAGGGTAAACCACCATGAGACCTCTCACCTAAATCCACTTAAGCACCAACCTTAAACTTTTCTTACAAGTGGCATGAATACAGAAAAACAATATTTAGATTAAAAATTGTTATTATTTTTATGCTTAATTTTTCATTGTGTTTTAAATACAGTAGGGGGGGTGTGTGTGTGTGTGTGTGTGTGTGTGTGTGTGTGTGTGTGTATGTGTGTGTGTGTGTAAAAGGGTGGAGGACAAGCATAAGGAACAAGCACAATAACTGTGAGCCACCAATTATAAGGTAGAGAGATTTTCTAACAATTTCTTAACAAAGAGCTCTGTCTACCATCCTTAGAGGTGGAGAAATCAAAAGTGATGCAGCAAGAAATAACTAAAAAGGGAGAAAGGAGAGTAGATAATACTCTTTATAAAGGCATTCCCTCTTTAAAATCCAGTGAAGCAAAGACTCGGGGTAGTGAGGGAGGGAAAAGGGAAGAATATGATGTACAAAGGGAAAACACAAGGGAAGGAAAAATACATTTAAGGACCATGTTGACTTACAAATAAATGAGTATAAACAGGTCACAAATAACGTAGTCTGAGAATGAGAAGGTTTCTAATGGTCATAAGTTCTCTTCTTCTAAATATCTCGCAAACATAATACTGGTGGAACAGTACCTAATTTTTGGCACTACCTACTTTTAAGATAGAGTTTGATCAGTTTATGAAAGGGATTATTTAACAAGGATTACTACAACAGCAAGGGACTGGATTTAGTCATGCAAGAGGTCCTTTCAAGCCCTCTGTACTTAAAAATCCATCTGTTTAGCAAATGCTAAGTTTATTACAAAATCAAGGTACTGAAATTTATCTCAAAGACTGTTCTGTTGTCAACAGTAAATCACCTCCATGAACAGCAAGATTACTTTGTGTGTAAATAAATCCTGTTTATAATAGTATCTTGTTTGCACATTGTTGCAAAATTTGGTCCAAATTTCTTGCTATGTTTACAGTTATGTCAGGGAGCTCGTATAAATTGATTAGCTATTTTGTTCAGTTTTTTGGGCCTGTGAGCCACATAGGGAGTTTTGCTGAGCTGTCCTGGTTTGGGTCAGCAGCCCTTCCATCCCATGCAACAGATCACCAAAGCTCCCTATGTGGGATGGGGTCCCAGCTGGGCTGAGAGCAGTGTTCAGGAGCAGGATGGGTGGGCAAAGCCAGGATCATGGGGCAGGGTCACAGGGCAGGGACAGAGCCATGATCTGCTGCCCACATGCCCCTGTGACAGCCGCAGGTTCTATGGGTAGGGGTGTGCAGGGAGTGGATCACGGCTCAGCCTTAGCTTCGGCCTCACTCTGTCATCACCCCAAGACCCTGAACTTGGCCCTGGACGCAGCTTCCCATCCAGCTGTGGCCTCATCCCATCCGCCTCGCTGTGCACCCTACCATGGAGACTCTGGGATCACAGGGCAGCGACAGTGCAGGGCTGGGACAGAGCCATGATCTGCATGCTCCTGCCCACAGAATTGGGGCTCTTCCCTGACCCCAGCCCCACGTTGTCACTGCCTCACAATCCTGGGGGTCTCCATGGGGACTAGCTAGGACCTGTGCAGCTGGATGCGTGGCTGGGAAGAAGGGATGGAGATGTGGCCAGACAGGGAGTTGTGTCCAGGTCCAGGTGGACAGGATGGGGCTGTGGGCATATGGGGAGCTGTGTCCAGAGCTAGTTCCGGGTTCTTGGGGACATGACAGCATGGGGCCAGAGCTCAGAAAGAGGCACAATGTGCTCCATGCACACCCCTGCCCACAAAACCAGCGCCCATTGCAAGGACGTGCAGGCAGCCGATTGTGTTGTCACTGCCCCAAAGTCCTGGGGTGTCTCTGGCCCTGCATGCCCATCTTGCACCCAGGCACCACTTCCTACCTTCCCGCAGCCCCATCCCAGCTGCCCAGCTGAGCAGCCTGCCCATGCAAGTCCTGCCCCTGTTGGTGGGGGAGGGGCAGATACGCTGAGGGTGCTCAGGCAGCGCGGCTGGGGCTGGGGCTGGGGCTGGCAGCCGCAGCAGGTGGAAGGAGCCACCGCGTCCAGGGCTACTGGGAAGTGTATCTAGCTGCTGTGCCACCCCAGCCACACTGCGTGCCTGGGGGCAATGGGAACAGCTGCACATGCCATGGCATCTGAGCTGGGCAGGACTGAAGGACCTGCTACAGGCCAGGCAAAATCCCTTAACAGGCTGGATTTGGCCTGCGGGCTGGATTTTGGCCTCCCCTGGTTTAAGGCTTAGAATCATATAAAAACACATTTTGGTATGTTAAGCTCTAGATAGTCTTCAATTCCCTTTTGGGTGCAGTGGAAAGGTTTTGGTTGTTATCTATGAAGTTTGAGATTTAACTCTTGCAGTGACCTTTTTCCCCCATATCCTTGTTATTGTGGGTTTTGGGGGTCTATGATGGGATAAAACCTCTCTGAATAATTAGAGGGAGATAAGACACTAGCACTAGCTGTGGCAAACACCTTTTAATTTTTTAATGCACATATGGGAATAATATAAATAAGTGATTTGTAGATGCTGACCTTAATATCACAAAACTTGCACGTAATTTTAATATAAGTTACTTTTTGTTTGTGGTTTAGGGTTCTCCAGGGCTTATGGGTTTTCCTGGACATAAAGGTGTAAGGGTAAGTGTTAGTTAGATAACCTTGTTATGAATTGTGTCATGTTAACTATTTATGTGGCTTACTATCAAATAAAACCATGTACTACTGATGGTGATATGAATTTGTGTGATATTCATAATGTCTGCAATGTATGCTTATGTGCATTTGAAAGATGTGGCACTGAACATATCCTCTTTTAATTATTTCCCTTTTTTACTTTGTTATGCTATATGTGAGTCACAGGTGTGTCTATTCAGTATTTATCTGACTTCGGTGTTCATCTATGCTGAAGTTAGATTGGGAAACCTTTCTGACCTTAAAATGTTTTAATCTATGCATAGTCTGCAGATACCAGTCCTATCTGCTGTCCTAGGGGAATGGTTGGGGAAAATTAATTAGTCATTTGAAAAACACTGGACTACCTTCTTAATGTTCATTTGGTTCTTACAAGTGGGGTAATGTATATGATGCATTCATTTTTTCCTAATTTTGTAATATTCTTTCTCTGTCTCTTTCTGTATCATTAGGGAAAGCCAGGATTACCTGGTTTTTCAGGTTCCCCAGGCCTTCCTGTAAGTAAAATAAAAATAGATTTAACCAATTTTGTTATAAATATTAACTTCTGTATTCCTCAATGCAGTGTCAATATTCAGCATTTTGTTGTCAGTTAATCTAGAGATAACAATCTTGATATCAGCAGTTCTTATTCATTATAAAGTTGTAAGAACACATTGAAAGTCTTCTGAAATACTGCATCAACCTAAACTATTTCACTGTCATCATAAAGCAACATAAATGTTTATTAACAAACTGCTGACAATTTTGCATTTTATTTTAGGGTGAACCAGGAAAGGCCGGTCCTCCTGGACAACCAGGTATTCCAGGATGTGATGGCGTAAAGGTAGGAGTCAAACATTATACAGTGCTTCTGGGAATTGTTAGAGGATGTCCTTAGAAATATAAGGATGCTGCCAAAAAAGTACTCTGAAATGCCTTTTTTCAAATCCATTGGAAATTCCCTTTGTTCCAGTTTACCACCTCATTATTTAGGACATTTTTATATGAATGTCTTTAGAAAGGAAAAAGTGTGGTAATCACTTGTGCAACCACATGTAATCTTTTCTGTGATGTTTCCCTATCCTGAGGATGCAGGACAAGGGTGAGTTAGATTATAAATAATTTCTCTAAGCAGTTTGAAACTCTTTTATCTACTGTGCTTTGTAAGCCTTCATTTATAATATGTCTAGACTGAAAACAAACTGTGATTAATGTCTTTATTTTCAGTTTTCATTTTTTTTGACCCTGAAATAGCTGTCAGTGAGCCATGTAGTCAAGAGTACTAGATATTCTTGAAGGGGGAAACATCTTGTTAGAAGTCATAGATAATCAAATAAATGTGTCAGTGGTTCTTGTAACAACGTTAATAATAAGAAAATGTTTATTTTCAGGGTGAACAAGGATTTCCAGGGCTCCTAGGGAGAAAAGGTGATCCAGGCAGGCCAGTAAGTGTCTAATATTAGTGATGAAATTCAAAGTAATGTGCTTTTCTATCAGATAAAACCTATTCATCCAAAGTTCACGAAGTCCCTTACAATTAAATAAGTTTCCCAATCTACTTCTGAGATACTGGGCTGTGGAAGCCAACATGTTTCTACCTTGAAAACTTAGGAAAAAGGGGCTTACGGTCCATTTTGCAAAGTGACTTATGTTTTGAAGTGTTGGGTTTGTGGGGAGGGCCCTATTGGAGACTTCTTGGGCCTGAACATCATAGTTGATGAACAAATGCAGCTTCTTCATTAATACTGAGTGTGCAATGTTTTCTGAAAATTGAACGCTGTTTCCCGAGTTGAGGATTAAACTGGAGGCAGCCTTACTAATAGGTACTCTTGAAAATTAAGTAGTAAGGTCCAGAACCTCAAAGAGATTTAAGCATGTACTGTAAATACCTTTGACCTGGGTCAGCTGAAGTCAGTTACTTAAATCCCAGGTGCCTTCTTTCAGAATCCTTTGCTTTTATCTTAAATCTTGATTTCCCCATCAGATATTTCAAGAAAAAAAAATAAACTGGAAACAGGGGATTAAAAAGGAACATTCTGTCACACAAAACCTGATCTCCTCTAAGTTGTATTGTCCATTTTAAAAGATCTTCCCATTAAAAAACAGTCAGGTCTCACAAACTAAACTTACAATAGTTTTTAAATACTGAATGTTAGAGTGGCCCACTTTCTAACAAGAAGTCTTTTGTTCTGAGACTGTAGACTGTATATATTGAAGACTATACACTTGGTACTTGTAAAAACAAGTCACCCGGTCAAGGTTACCCCTATTTGAATATGTCTTTATCTGTGTTACTTGTTACCTTTTCTATTAAAACTAAAGTTGTTGTTATTCTTCCAAGGGTGTTGATGGCATTAAAGGAGAAAAGGTAAATTTTTATTTACAGTTATTAAATATTCATTGATCAACCATTTATCTTTTTAATGTAAAAAAGATTTTTAAAAGATGTGTGATATTTGTCTACATCCATTTCAGCTACAAAATCTATTTCCCAGAAGTACAGAGCAATTAACACCAGAACATGACATACAATATATTCATCAATATTTCATGTTTTCTGATTGCTGATATCATGTTTTCTGATTTCTGATATTTCTGAATGCAAGTCTGGGAACCAGCGGCGGGGGATGGGGTGGTGGAAGAGGACTATCCTATGTGTTAGCTCCAGTAGCTGAGTGGTCAGGGTACTTGCCCAGGAAGCAGAACATCTAGGATGCTTATATATGAGCCAGGAGGGCTGGTCCAATGCACTGTAATTATGAGTAATTACCCCGCTTCAGCCAGCCTTTGCATCTCGTGTATCAGCATCCCCGTGCTTCAAAATGACAGCAGGGTGTGCTGTAACTAAAGCTTATTCAACAAGCTTTAGATAAAGTGCCCCCACCACCATTTTGAAGAGCAGGGACACTAATACATGAGACGCCTCAGGCACTTTAATTAGAGCCACTCTCAGAGCTGCTCTAATTAAAGCATCCTTGTCTAGTCCCAGAGCATGTGTAAAAATGCCCCTAGATTTTATACCCTGTGTTTGAAGGGGGTTTGAACCTACATCTCTCTGGTTTACCCTCTGAGGTATTGCTTTTGAAGCTGAACCACTGTCCCTTGCACTTAATACTCATTAGATAAAATGGATGAAGAGCCATGCAGTGGGGGAAGCTTTTTTCCCCTATTATAGCAGAAAGATTCCAAACTAGAACAACATCCATTCCACTGAATTACACACCCACTAACTTGTTCTTGCCTCATATCTCCCTCTTTTGGCTGCCCTGCGGGCCAGCTTCAAAAGGAGGGGTGGAAAGGAGACTTTATAGTGCCTTTTCTATGATATGGTGGTTAAAGTGCTGTGCTGGGAAGTCAGAAAAAGGCAGATTAATATGCCCCCCCACCCCACCTGGCCCAGAATGAGGGAATCTTAGCGTCAGCTATTGTGATAAAATGTGGGAGGGCTCTCCTCCAGTGTCTAACACCCATTACTCATGAGTTCTGGTCAGCTACATTTTCAGGACTCAGATCACTTACTTGTACAGAATGGGCATGTTTATGTAGCTGCATATGTCAGTATGTAGCCTGCTGGCCATGCTCAGTCCATGTGCACATGCTTCTTCATCTGCAGTTCAGAGATAATATAATTGCAACCTGTGTGTAAGTACCAAAAATGCTACTTACATGGTTAGAGAATTACCATTTAGGCACTCAAAGGGAAACAGAATGCTGCTCCAAGTCCTTCACTAAAAACACTTACAAAACCCTACAGATAGTTATCAAATACCCTGGGTAGGAGATTTAGCACACAAAGGAGTGCAGAGATAATTGGAAGAATTATTGTTGATATGTGTATTTGAGGAGGAACTTGCAGACAGAAGCAATTCCAACCATAAGCAGGAAGACTAGAAGCAAGAAAAGGAGTCGTTTCCTATGAAAAAGCAAATTACAGGGTCTGTTTAGTACAGGGCCTGTTCAATTTCTTCCAGAGTACCTCAGCATAGTGCCCCTACAGCCACACAGCTTTAAAAAATGAAATACTGTGGACTCTAGCCCTTATTTCTCCCTAATCTTTGAAGGTGCCTCACAATCTGAGGTTACTTGGAAAAGCAAACTCTACCTGCATATGTGCCAAGGAGCTCCAAAGAAGCACCATGAACTCTTCCACTATCTTGCACATCAGGAAAGCAGCTGTATCAAAAGCAAATCTGAATATTTTTGGTCCTGATTCTTCCCTGCATTAGGCTGGTTTCTGGTCAGTGTAATTGTGGACTTCAGTACAATTACACCAATTAAAAATTGGAGTAATGCAGCACTGAATCACACCCATTTTCTTTAAGAAACTTTTATAGTTTCCTTAAAAGAAAGCAGTGTTGTTCAGAAACATTATGCCCTAAGGTGTGAATTGCTCTCAGCCTTTTAATAGTGTTTTTCCTAACTAAAAAGCAAAATTGGCTTCCAAAGATTGTATTATAAAGAAAACAAGAATGTTTTTCTCTCCCATCTAGAGCAGTTCTCAGCCTTTTTAGACTAGAGGTACCCCTCATTAAACTCCATGCATCCCTTCAAAACAACCTGCTCTTAGCTTTCACACATTTTTACTATGAAAAAATAACAGAGCAATTCTTCTGTTGCAAAGAACTTAGACCATAACAGATCAGAAGGTTTTTGACACTATAGATTCCTATTTGAAATCTCAGGGTTTATCTTGTAAATCATGTGTTTGCACACCTAAGAGTGCTAATATTGTGCAACACCTTTTAAAAGTCTCTAACAACAAATGCAGAATAAGAACTACTGCTCTAAATAACTTGCATTGGTATAGAATCATGCAAATGTAACAGTTACATTATAACAGCTTATATTGGTATCCTTTGATACCAATACAAAGTTATGTCCATCTGTACAATCAAAGTAGAGATTTGAAGTGTACATAAGTAATTTGCAGTTTAATGAAATAGTTTATAGAATTTTCCATAATACACAAAAATACATTATGCTATCCTGATATTGGAGTTCATCCTTATTTATTACTGTTGAGAATTTTACAGCTTGGAGTTTTGAATTACACAAAGGAATTCCATAATATAACACTTCATCAGACTTTTTTCATTTTCTTTTTTTCAAGGGATGTCCTCCAAGTGTATATGATGAAGGTGATGATGCAAAGGGTGCCCCAGGAATACCAGGAATACCTGGGGTTCAGGTAATTCAAAGAGAATTTAAACTCTGATGCATGGGGAGGGGTTGTATTTTTTTCCTCTGTTTTTTTTATAGGTAATCATACTTGGGAGAAAATAATTTGTTTCTCAGTGGTTTATCACGTTTACACCATACAGGTTATATGAGATTCATGACCTATTTATCCTGTCCTTTTCAAAACTTAAATTATACCAAGTCAATAGAAGCTAGCTGTGCTTTCTAAGATGAGGTGCTTACTGGATTTGTTAGCAAAGGGGAAAAGGGGTAATATGTGTAGATGACAAAATTGTTTAAGGTAGCTGATACTAGAAAAAAATTATGACGTACTCCAAAACAGTCGAGGTCCCTTGTGAATCCAATAAAGATAGATATATAGGCAGCACAATGGCAAATGAAATTCACTCTTAATGAAATCAAGGTGATCAGTTATTTGGAAAGAATAATTTGATCTGTTTATACATACTGTTAGTTTCCCAAATTAATTAATTAATCAATCAGAGAAAACACATGGGCATCATGAGGGATAACTTAATAAAGACCTCTTACTCAATGTGCAGCAAAGATCTAAAAAGCTAATAAAATGTTAGGGTGCCTAAAAAGATGAGTTAGAAAATATTAATGACTGAGGATATGATTATTTTCTTATTTATACTCTCATCTGAAATATTGTATTCAGTTTTGGTCACCCAGTCATCTGTGTGACAGGGGGCAGTTCTTGGGGCTGGATCCCCTGCCAGCCTGCCCAGCTGTCTCTATGGCCCTACCATTGACCAGTCAAGGGTGCCTCAAGTCAGGCTTCTTGAGCATCTAGCCCACTCTCTCTCTCTCTCACAGGTCTGCCTTCTCAACCCTACTATGGGGTTACCCACCCGGTTGTGGGAGCTGGGTTTTAAGGACCCTGACCCGCCTTTCACCAAGGTGATAACTGGCCTGGCATTTTCTGGGGGTTTCTGCACCACCAGGAGCCCCACCAGGCCACCCATCCATGGCAGGGTGCAGTTTTCATGCCCAGGACCAAGAGCCTCCTAGCCATCCCCATAAGTGCTTGCCCTTACCTTCTGGGTTGTTCCTGCTGCTGCTCAACTAGGCAATGTTTCTGCCTGGGCTGGCAGCACCAGACTGCAGCCTTTATATACTAGGGTCTCGAAATGGCTGCTGCCATCAGGCATCTGCTGGATGCCTAACTAATCCCTTAAGGTGGCAGGCACCAACAGTGCCCTGCCACAGTCTGAAAAGGGAATCTCAATAAATAGGATGGAATTCCAGAAGTACTACACTTAGTAAAAAACAGACACATGAAATACAAAATGTTTGAAAGAGATGCAGCACTGCAGAAACAGGCTTGGGGATTATAGTGGATTGCAAGCTGAATATGAGGCAATGGTAAAATACTGTTGCAAAAACGGTAATAGCATGCTGATATATAATAACAAGAGGGTCATATGCAAGTCACTGGTAGTGATTCTTCCATTCTGTTCAATTTTGGTAAGGCCTACTCTAGAGCACAGTGTCTAGTATATGGCACCCTGCTATAAGACAGACATGGACAAATTATAAAGAGTACAGAGGAGAGCAACAAAAATAATTAGAAGTCTAGAAAATGTGACATAAAAGGAAAAATTGGAGGAATTGGACTTTAGTCTGGATTTGATAACAGTCTTCAAATATAAAAAAAAAAGTAGTTATAAAGAAGATAGTGATTTTTTTTTTCTGAGTACACAGTTAGACAGGAACCTGGACAAGAAGTAATGAAATTAAATTGCAACAAGAGAGATTTAGGTTCATAGATTTTATAGACATGAGCGCTGGAAGGGACCTTGGGAGATCATCGAGTCCAGCCCCCTGCCCCAAGGGCAGGAAGTCAGCTAGAGAAATCCTCACAGGTAGGTCAGCATCAGCCTTGCACTACAGGTGGGTGGCAAAGCATACAGAGAGCAAATATTGACCTTGGGTCAAGCACTGAGTCTCTTACAACCAGTAGTTGAACTTAGGTCTCCTGAGTCCCAGTCCAGAGCCTTAGCTACAAAGCCATCCCTCGTGCTCCCCTAGCAACCAGTGTCTTTCTCTGCCCAGGTTCGGTATTAGGAAGAACTTTCAAATGCTGAAAGCAGTTAAGCATTGGAACAGAATACCTAGAGATGATGTGGAATCTCCTTCAGTGGAAGTTTTTAAGTGTATATTAAATAAATATTCCGCTAGAATGTTTTAGGAAGCATGTTGCCTTGGGCAGAAGGTTGGGGTAATGGTGTCCAGAAGTCCCTGCCATTTCCATTATTATATGGATTCTGTTCTCACAAAGAACATATCAGATGCAAAAACTACTTGCTCATTTGGAAAAAAAATCTATATGAAAGGAAACCTAAGCTTGGGACTGCTTAGAGAGGACTATATTTAGAGTGAGAATGATAAAGGTATACTGAATAATGTTTGGTAAAGGGAAGGTAGGCCTGGCATTACTATTCAACCTTACTCATAAAACAGTCACCAGAGAATATTGAATTAAACTGAAAGTTAATATATTTAAAACTTTAGAGGTTTTTTGAAGCAATAGAAAATTAATGTCATATTCACCGCTCAGAATAGTCTAGAAGCCAAAAGCTTAGTAAAGTTAAATAAGTGGGTAGATGATAATAATAATAACAGGTAGTAATAGAGCCTTATCAGGACTTAATATTAAATAGGACTTTAGTCTCTTATTTTAATTTTGGAAGGTATCTTTTCCCCATATTTGAAGGCATTAGCCAGCTGCTAACAGTTTAGGAAGGAATTTCATCCAAGGCAGGCTATTCCATAGTTGTCCACTAACTGAACCTTCCTTTGAGTATAGCTGATTTTAGAGACAAACCCTGGAAATTCAGGGAGATGACTAGTCCAACCCAACATGACAAGTCCCATGTCCTAAGTAGATCCTGATTTATTAAAAATTTTACCCTTAAGAATTGTAAAGGAGCCTTTATAGTTTCAACTGAAATTACACTTCCACTCAACTATTTGATTCCACAATAGTTAAGCCTGTACTACAGTGGAATAATGCTTTATCAATATTTTTAAAATCTAGATTAATTAACTAAATCAATGTATACAAAGAATACATTAATTATTAATATTGCTACACTATAACTCAACTCATTGTGCTTATCACAATAAGGGGTTCTTAATATTCTTGTTTTCTTTAAAATACAAGGGCATTTATTATCATTTCTTGTTTAATACAAAGGGTGATCCAGGTCCACAAGGATTACAAGGGCCAGTTGGACCACAGGGC